TCTAAGCCATTTGTTTGTGAACCACAAACATCGGCTTATATGAGGTTTAGTTTCACTTTCATTTTCTAGCTCTACCTTCAGCTAGCCATTGAATAGGCACTCATAAAACCCGATACAGTATGGTGTGCACATGACGACAGTGGAAAAATGCCGCACACATTCAACTTACCGATCTATTCGGCTGAGTGCTGACTACAAACAACAATGCGTCATATAATACATGTAGCCGCCGCCAGTTGATATTGGTAATGAGAAAGAGAATAAAAACCAAATGCTTTTGATAGAAGAAAAAAAAGCGCTCTCAGCTTTATGAATGCGATAATTTTGTTTTGAGAAAACGTGATGAACCAAAAATAAATAGAAAGCGCATTCGATTCTATGTCAATAACAAAGACAAAATAATGCTAAAAGCTGTGAAATATAAATTATTTGCAATGACATGACAATGTCCTTGGATGAAAAACAGTCTCAAATAACAGGCACGCATCAGATTTAGCAGTGGCATACACAACAAACATTTCGAATACACAGTGTGTATGTGCTATATATGTATATATAATCTTACTGTGGGATGAACGAACGTACGAAGCAAGCAACAGAGAGAATGAAAACGTAATTCATGTATATAGTATGGATTGAGCTGTGTATTTATACATATTTCGATAGATATACTACGTTGTATTGCATGGCTAGCAGTAGACAGAGCAAAGCATACGAAAACCATCTCGTGAGTCAATTGAACTGAGCAAGCGTTCGAGTGAAAATACTTCGTTCATATAACGTAGTAGTATTTCGATGGTTGTGCGCCTGATACACATTTTAAACTTTTGCTTCGTGCATTTTTTTTTCTTTCAAATGCTTCATAATTTTTCTTTGTGATTCGCTCGCGCCGAATATATCGTTAGAAAAACGCCGAATTTAATTTAATTTCACATGAATTTTCGAAATTCAACATTTTCATTACGGTTTTATTTCTTTTTTGAGGAATTCAATTTTTCTATGCTTTCGTTTATCGAGTATTCTTTTTTCGACAACGATATGATATGATGACTTTAGTTTCGTAATTCGATCATGGTAAGAAAAAAAAATTACGAAGAGATTTTTTTTTCGACCAAAGTGAAAAAGATCTTTCCACCAAATTTCAAGGCAATTTTTTTCTGAAGGGATATATTCAGGTAGTGGCATTAAAACAAGCAAACAGCATTCGAAACATCATTCGAGAATGTTGAAAGCATACAATGGGATAGCATTCCCGCGGTGCTTCAATTGTGAAGTAAAGAGTGAGCGATTGAATTGTGTACTCCTGTTCCTATGCACGGCCTGTTGATGCGTCATACACCATGATGCCTTTGGATTGCGTGCTCGTTTTATATTTGGCACACACCACCAACAGCAGCAGCAAAGCAAAACGAGAGAGAATTTTTGGTACAAAGAGTAAAATGCTGCTCCTCATGATGCCTACATATCATGCCACACACCCATGCAGCGCACGATTTGCAGTAAATTTCGGGGTGGATCGTGGATAATTTTATTAGCACTTTATCTAACAAACGAATTCATTCCAATGAGACATTGAATTTTGGGCACCACACCGATGGTCAATCGACTGTGATCAAATTAATAAACGATAAAGAGAATTTACTTCCAATATTAATTGCGGACCATTTGCTGCTCTGCAAATGACAAAGCATCCAAATGTTATTAAAACAACTTTCGTTCAATTCATGCACAAAATGATAAGACTTTGTATTGTCTTTGTTTGAAACTTTGTTACCATTTTAAATGGCCTTAAACGATGGGCCTGTGAACAAAATCGAATGGTTACAATTCAGGTGTCTGTTTAATTTCGGCAGATCTCGTTTTTGGATGCAGCCAGCCAGTGACCAAAAGTTTAAAAGGTTCACATCAAAAACGGTGAAATCAAATCACTGTCCACGCCCTAGATACGCCTCGTTTTTATCAATATGGCTAGGCGCTCAGAACTGAATAAACTGTATAACAGGTGGATTTTCAACCACACCATTCTCTCTCTCATCGTCATCGTCATCATCGCGCGTAGCACTGGCACCATACCATGGTTGAATGTTAAACACTCTGCAATATGGAACGAAAAACATGTCTTGCGCACAGCAGAAAATGTGCATCAGACCCCAAAAAGCAGCTCATCGAACACTGAAAAAGGCAGAACATACAGAAATAGCAACCGTTGAAACAAACGATACACCGAATCAACCTCAATCGCATTTACTGGAGCTCTAAATAGTCGTTCGAAACAACAGCAACCGAAAAGCCAAAGCAATATGTACAGTCTTCGTTCACATATATTGAGACCAGATGAAAAAAGAAAATGTTGTTGTCCAGTTGAAAACAACAAACGAGGCACGCATGAAATGAAAATACTTCATTTCTTTGAAGTTGCATGTATAAACAACAAACATCAACAAACAACAACAATAATAAACAAATCAATTGGAGATAGAAATTTGTTCCAACAAAACCAACGTTCGCAACCACTACATACACATTTTCATTTCTCTCATATCACAACAGTGGAGAATATTTTTGTCACTTATTGTTGTTGTTGTTTTTTTTTTTGTGTGTTTCGTAGCTTAAGTTTTCTATTCTGCTCTTGATCCGCTTTTGTGCACTCGCTTGAAATATTATCTATTCACAGCACATACGCTCGCGTCCGCGTTCCAATTCACATATGATGAGAATATACGTAAGCTATAGCTATTATTCGTAATAAACACAGCGAATGCTTCGCATCATATTATGTGCGCCTAATAAACAGCAAATTATTCAAAATTCAATATGCTAGTCGCCTGGCGAGCGTCAAATTTTTCAAATACCATGCATTATTTTTATTCTTTAAAGCCACACATTAACATCGTCTGCATCGCACACAAATAAATCGGATAAATACAACATTCTTTGCAGCATCATATGTGTTCACCACAATCGTAATCGCAATTTGGTTCAATAAAATGAAACTCATTGAGTATTCCAATTGAATATTTTAATAAATAATAATATATTTTTATTTATTTTTTCTTCGAACGTCATTTGTATCAAACGATACGGTTATTTTTCAATTCAAATTAATTTTTAAATAGACAAACGGTATTCATTCCGAATCAAATTAACTCATCGCCAATAAAAAAACATATATGAATATTATTCAGATTGTGAATTATAGTAATAGCACTACTGTGAACTACACATTTTCAGTGCTTTTGATAACTTTTTCAACGACATCTGCCGTCTCAATTTCCATAAATCGCTTGGATTGAATGATAATGCATGTGCTTTATTCATGTATTGTGAATATGTGCTCGTTTAATACATTTAGTAGCGACATCGTCGGTCTCAGCATGAAACTATTTTAAGCAGTGGTTCGTAGAATTGATACTTAGCAGTGCTAAGTTGACATGAAACGCTTACATAGCGATATATTGTAGACAATGTCCAAAAATAGTGAAAACGGTCTCTGGACATGTATTTTTCAATCATTGTATTATGTACAGACATTTTTTCCACTCATTCCTTGGACTTATCAGTATGTTTTAGAACTACTTTATATGGTGGTTAGTAGAATTGATACTTACCATAAAAGCGTTACATTGCAATGTGTGACTGTAAAGAGTCCCTTATTGTACACATATAGAATATGGGTCAGTGTTCAACTTCCAAAAATCCATTATTTTAAAAAGTTTATTTGCAAAGATTCGGACCTTTGCTAAGACTTTACTCATTTCTTCTTTGCAAAGAAGTAATTCCAAGTGATTTTAATTTACCTTGTTCAATTGTCGTTGCATCTCATTTCACTGAGTCAGCATCGGCTAGCTAGAAAAATGGAAAATCGTCCCAACAAGTCATTTATAGAAGTGAAAGATGTGTCGTTTTAATTTTTCAATACAGATAAATTTTTATTGGATTTACTTTAGAAATTCTTAAAGAAGACAATGTAATATATCATAATCGCATAATAGTCAATAATAAATTGTGTAATAATCATAATAATAATAAAGTGCAAACGAGAAAAATCGCTTGAAATGATTTTCTTCTTTCTGAATCCATGCAATGAGGATTTGGTTTGGCCGAATTGTAACACCACCACAGTTCAGACCGTTTTATAATGTGAAAAGTTTGAACTTGTTTGTGTGTGTTGGATTCAAAAGAGAAAAAAAACAGGTGAATTTCATGCGCGTTTTTCGTTCGCATCACGGTATAATGTCCATTTTAATTATAATATTAATGTTGTATCTGACGCATAATAATAGATTTATGATATGATATATTATATTTTGTATGTACAGTTTTACTATTATATTCTTTAATTTTCTTTGCATTTTATTTCTGTATGCGAAACATTTTCGCCATCATTTCTACATTTGATTCATTGTTTTGTTGTTGTTGTTCTGTATGCAGACTACATATACATATTTCTTTGTGCCGAGATGAAAAATTCATGAACAAAAGTGAATTCAATTTTAGATAAAATAAGTTCCAGACCGATCAAAATGATATCATGTCCAGTCAATCGAGTCACCATTTTCTCAAAATTTAAAACCATAAAAAATGTTCAATTGCAAAATAATAAACAAAAGGATAAACAAATTAGTACGTAATTTACTAGTGAATAGTGTTAAAAAATAGCATTCAATTCAGTGTCACTGGTGTGACTCATTCATCGATGCGACATTTTGATTTAAAATATTGTTTGCTATCGCGAGAGATGGCAAAACACAAAGTTTCGGCAAATAATACATTTTAAAGATCCTACTTTGTTTCTATTCAAACCGAAAAGAAAATGTATTTGTTTCTTTCTTCAAAATGTTTGTTTTTAGATGTTAAACTGTTATTACGTATTGATATTTTGCAAAAATTGCATAGTGTATACTAAATTTGTTTGTTTCTTTGTTTGGTTTTTCATTCAAATATTCGTCTTAATTCATCATTTTTTTGTTTTAATTAGAAAATTACGTATTTTTATGTTTTGCCTTTGATTTTAATTCTCATTTTATGTTTATCATCGTATGTTTTGTGTTTGTTGTGGTAATTTGGTTTTTTTGCTCCTCAATTTAATTTTCTTTTGTTGTCGTGATGTCTAATTTTGACACCCGGTTCATTATACTAAAAGTGTCTTACTGTAAATGGTTTTCACTAATTTGACACTTTGATATCGATATCCCTTTTATACCTCTCTAATCTTTCGCGTATATTTTTTTTGTCATTTGAGACATGATCCGTTCCATCAAGTAAAATATATCAAAATGCATCTACGGATCCATAACATATTTATCTAAAAGTTAAATTGATTGTAAATCCAAAATAAAGAAGAATTATACCAAATGCCTCTGGCATTTGTGTGTGTATGTATGTGAATTTGTCAAGCATGTTCCAACGGAAAATGTCTTTTTTTGACTGTCTCGTAACAAAGGAGTCGACTACACATTCGGAAGAAGAAAAATAATTTAATTCAATTGATTGATTTGATGCGATTGTTGTTGTTTTTTTTTGTGCATACATTAATTAGACTTTTATTTCTATTTCATTTTTTAAATCATTTTAACAAATCAATTAAAATTAGTTTAATCCACAAAATTTATGTCTAGATGCTTTTTTTCAATTTTTTTTTAAATGTATTGATAATATTCATTTTTTGCTTTTCTCCTTCATAGATCTACAGTAAATATGCATATAATATATTGAATTAACCTACTTAAGCGAATATTTTGTTGTTGTTGTATTGTTTCTTATATTCACAATGTCAACAGAACAAAAGAGTTCGGTTTTGTGGGCCTGTGAATTTCGGAAACTATAAAGAAAAGAGAAAATCGTCTAATTGGTTTTTTGTGGTCTCTTCACTTTTCGATTTTGCTCATTATTCTGAAGCAACAGTGTTTTGGTTTTCTTTCACATTCGCACATCAATTTTTAAAGTTTATTTTTATTTTTATCTTTTTGTTCATGGTCGCCATTTATTCAGCGGTCAATGTTCACCTAATGTGCACAATCAAATTATGAATTAGAGGCAGTTGTATATTTTGAAGTTCATGATCTAGTTGTTCTTTTCTTTTCTTGCTTGTCTTGTTCGATATGCATACAGGTATTTTTTATTTTCATTTCATCATTCAATATTTCACGAATAGTTCCATAAATTTTGGAGTGTCACTTAATACTAAAAAAAATTGATCAATCAATTAAAATTTGCGCGCAACATATCTGTCGTAAACGCGCTGTAAATACTTTATTTACAATATTTTGTATCTCGGTAAATTAGGTTTCAAACTTGAGAAAAGGAGAAAATACTAAAGAAAACAGACGAGATTAAATGAAATATAACGATAACGATACTTATTGTTCACTTTGCGATGGGAAGAAATTAAATGCCATATTCGTAAATTCATGTACACAACGGAAAATTGAAGATAAATTGTATCTTTTCTTCGTCAGAGGGAGAGCGATACAATTCGATTTGTTTAAAAACAAAAACAAAAGAAAGTGTGAAACGATCGCGCGCTGTGCGAACTGCAGACATTTCAATTGGATTTTTCTTTTTTTGTATTCGATTATTTGGTTGCTTTGAGATCAAAATCTAGAATTCGTAATGCTTGATGTTGACCTTGCTCGTATTCTCACTTTCATTCTTTTATTTTTTTATATTTGAATGTCATCGAATTGAGAGATTTTTTCTTTTGTGTCTCTTTGTGTGTATTTTTTTGATTGATTTCGAGCTTAAATCTTAATTCTTAGTTTTGTTATTTATTTCTATGCATTTGCTTGGTTTTCCTCTTGCAACCGATCGCAGCAAAATGCTTTGGCCGGTGCATCCAAACTGAATGCGAATAAAATGCGAGTACGAGTCCTACGATTTAAGAAATTGTGATTATCAATATATATATATTTAAAGAGAAATGTGTGTGTGTGTTTGTTTTTCATAAATATTATTTTTTTGTTTTGTTCTGTTGTTCCACATCGACAGCAGTGAATATTCATTCATATTCGGCAAGAATAACATTTTTTTTCGCTGTGGAAAACGCAATTCAATCCACCTCACACCTAACAACAGTCTTATTTACATTGAATTCTGCATCTACATTAATTTATTTATTTTGTTCACTATCATATAGTCTTGCGCGTATTTTTTTTTTGGATCGCTTAAGCATTTTCAGTAGCGATTTCACACTGCATAATTTATTATAGATTTATAGACACAATGATTTTCCTCTATTTCATTTTTTCTCAATTTGAATGCGACTCCGAATCAATCAATTTCAATTTTGTTAATCTTCTTCCTTTTTTTGTTTGCTTCATTTCAATGTTTCCATTTAAACATCTAAACATAAATAATCTAGTGTTAAAAAAGTTACTTATATTGATATATAGTTTAGGGATAAGGATCAAATGAAATCAATAAACTTAAACATTTTTTTACAACTTTTATCGATTGATTCATTTTTATAAATTTTTGCACGTGTTTTATTTTTTATCGGCATGAATTTTATGCTTTGAGAGTTTTCTTTTAGATTTTGTTTTTTTTTTTGGTTAAAATATATTCATTGATGACATGACCGATGTTTCAAAAGTTTTTCAAACTACTTTTGCCAGCTTTACTGGTCGTTTAAATGTTGAATGTGTAGCTTCTTCATACTCTATGACTATTTACAAATAATTTCTATAAGTTAAACATTAGAAAAAGAAAATAATGATTTGAAAGTAAATGTTTTGAACAAAAAAACTTATTTTTTCTCTCTCATAATTGAGCATTAGTTTAAAATCTAGTAATGCTCAATTGATTTCATACTAAAAAAAATTCCATCAATTTTATGATTAACTTAGAAAAAATGGACTTAAAATTCACTGTTCATTTTTGTTAAATCGTTTTTTTTAGATTGCACTAGTTTAAGCAGTTTTACTGCTTAGAACGCGTCTAGTTGGATTTTAATAATCCCATCGATCGCTGTCATCGGATTCCTTCTTAACGACCGGTAAATCGTCATTGGACACTGTTGTTTTATCGTTGGTGTTTTTTTCCAATTCATTGGCTTTGCCAATATCATTTTCGCTTGGTGCATCGGTGTCCATGTCATTGTTATTTTTGGTCGATTTTGCATCGTTTTCATCATCTGAATGGGCATCTTCGTCGTCCAATCGATCGGCCGATTGTGGTTCAATTCGAACGGTCGAATCATCTTGATCAAAGTCATTATTTTGTTGCATCACACAAACGCCATTGATGATAACTTCATCGTCGGTTGGTGCCCGATTAGCGGCGTTGGCATCATTATTGCCAATATTTAATGGGTTTTTTTTGTCATCTTGCCACATTGGATTCAACCATTGTGGTGCGGCCGGTTTGCGACGCGATGAACGTACATTTGATTGAATTGCCATCGGTGATGCTGATAAATCTTTATTTGATTCGGATTTATTGTCAGCATTATCATCATCTTCACCATCCGACATATTATTATCACCATCATTTTCATCATCTGAATAATCGTCACGTTCACGTTTCAAACCAGCACCCATACTCAAATCCAATCCACTCATTTGCTCTTTGAATGCATTCAGTGCGGCCAATTCGGCTTCATTTGTTGGCAACAAACCGCGACCAATGAGCGCCGCTAAATTTTGATTTGCAAAGAATGGTGGATATTGTAATGGTACACCCGACAAACCAATACGCTCTTTTTGCAATTCCATCAATCGTTGATTTAACAAAAGACGAAATTGTACTGGATCGAATGGGGCGCCAGTTTGATTTTCACGCGTTGGAATCGAATCGGATGGTGCACCATGCGGTACTTGTTGCTTTAAGCGCATACGATGATTATGGAACCAATTGGTGATTGTACGTGTGGATAGGCCTAGTTCAGTGGCCAAAAATTCAATGGTGCCAACATTTGGATATGGATCAAGGGCGAAGGCAAGACGAAGTGCTTCTTTTTGTTCTTCGGAGAAGAGAACGCGTTGCTTTTTATTTGGCGGTGCACCAGACGATCCAACGGAACCGGGTCCCGGTGAATTTGATGCATAAAATTCGGATGTATCATTGCTGCTGGTATCTGAGCTATTGTCTTGCATTCCTGGACCGGTTGATCGGCGACGTTTGTTTGCTTCGCGTCGTTCATTTTTCAATGCTTGCAAACGATCTACATTGTTGGCATCGGATAACCATAATTGCATACGAATAAATGGTTCACGTCCTTTGATACTGAGCATATGCCATGGCTTTGGTTTTGATAGCAATTCAGACACTGAACCTTGTGATAAGCCCAAAACAGCTTCACCGAAAATCTACATGAAAGAATAAAAAGAAAATATTTCATTTAAAAAAAATTGTTTTTTTTTTTTCATTGAAAAATATTCTAGTATTTTCAAAAAAAAGGTCCAATGAATTACCTTTTGTCCAATGTTATTGGCCATAAGTGCTTCCTTGATTTTGGTTGTGATTGTTTGAGTATCCATGTCTTGAGTGAGTGCGGCCATTTCATAAACGGTTGGCGACATATGCTGATGCATACTGCGCATTGCATTATTTTGTTGCGGTGAATGAACCGGAACTGGCATTGGTTTCTTGTCTTCTGGCGGAAGTGTAACGCGATGAAGTGGTGGTACACCGGGCGGTGTGAGTAACATTCCTGGATTTGGCATCGACGATGATTGAGATGTGGCCGATTGTCCTTGTGACGGTGGTGGTTGCATTTGTGTCGATGGCATTTGCAATTGTTGTAAATGCATTAAATGTTGTTCTTGTTGCATTTTTGACATTTCGCTAATCATTTTTTGCATCGGTGGCATTTGCTTGGCAATGCCCGATGGAATTTGTGGTGAACCACTGTAATTACCGGTTCGCATCAATTTTTCGGGTGCAATTTTATATTGACTTGCAACCAATTTGTGTACCGCATTTTCATCTTCCAAGAACATTTTCATGCGAATAAATGGTTCGCGTCCTTTTTGCGTAAGCATATGCCATGGTTTTGGGCGTGCCAATAAATCACTAACGGAACCTTGTGACAAACCCAAAACAGATTCGCCAAACAAACGTTGACTGATCGAATACTGTGACAATGCCTCTTTAACACGGCGCACAATATCTTCGGTATTTAAATTGTTGAACATATCGAATTGCTGTTGGGTGATTGGCGGCAGAACAGCTTTTAATGGTCGTTGAGCACTGGCATGATGATTGGGCATCGGTGCTTGTGTGATTAAAGAGTTTGTGATGGATGCCATGCGTTGCAATGGGCTGGCAGCAGACGAGAAATCATCGGTTGGTGTCATGGCCGGTGGCAAAATCGAATTACCAATCGGACTTGGTGCAGCCGATGATGCTGTTGTTGTTGGTGTTGTGCCCGGTTCTGGTTTGGCTCGTACCATATTGAATGCAGATAATGAATTGCGGCCATCATCATTGTCTTTCTCTTCGGAGCCCGAATGTTGTCCGTTCAATTTTTGTGATTTATTCGCTTGTGCTTGAGCTTGTTGCTCTTTTTTAAGAGATAAATCTTGAGCACCATTCAATGCTTGCTGTTGCAATGCAAGCAGTCCAGGAAGATTTGGGAAATTTGGAATATTTCCACCGCTTTGTTGCAATTTGGCCAGTTCACGATAATATGCTTCGAGCGCCATACGAATGTTATCCTCCGGCATTTGCGACGTTGCTGTCGATGGGACTGGTGGCATGCCACCGCTTAAAAATTGTGGAAATAGAGAACTATAATTACATTAGCATATTTACAGAATACTTTCGTTTTAATTAATGTGAAAAAATGGAAAATAAAGAATGTTTGTTGTACTTACTTTGGGAATGCGTCACGTGTCATTAGTTTAGCCAATTCTTCTTGATAAATGCGAGCCATTTTCTCGCGTGAAATGTCATCACTGTCATATTTACGCATACGGCGTGCATCCTTTGAGAACGGTGATAGGCTTTGGTTATGCAATGAGTCTAAATCATCGTTGCTGCGTGAATCGTCGTTGTGTTGTTGTTGTGATAGTGACATTTGTGATTGAGAACCACCGAGAGATGGTTTCATCATGCTCGATGCTTCGGATAAAATATGAGCGATACGATCATCACCCATACTATTATCATCTCCACGTCCGTACGGTGGCAATCCAGAATCTGTAATACACAAGAAAATGAAGAATATTTGATTAGTTTTCTATAAACACTGTACTGTTTGTTGTTTTTGTTTCATTTTTGTTTTTCTTTTTTTTTCGATTTTCAAAACAAGTTTGTACATAAGAATAGAATTCATGACACTTGAAGCAAGCATCAAGCATAAGAAAATGACGGATTGCCGATATGGTTCAGTGAATAAAACATGCTCTATCTGTTGAAATTAATCAACGCACTGAAGCTTGAACAGGAAAAAAACAGATCCACGCTACAGCGTTCACATTGATGGGCCAGCGTACAAGAACGATTTCATCAATCATTTCGATTTTTAATGATATTTTTGTTGTTCATTCGTTCGTTGACGACGACCAAAATCTATTGATATACAATTTTTGTTTCTTCGTTTTGGCATCCGATCATTGCGTGACGATAAAGTGCCATAAATGAAGAGTAGCAAAAGAGTAAAAACATGCGAATGAGATTAGAGTTAAATGACCAAAAATATCGTATAATTAAAATTCAGTTTTTTTCTTCTTTGGATTTTAATGATGACAATGGCAATGAAAGAAAATGAGAGACCAATAAGAAATCCACAAAAAAACAATACCCAATGCAGACAGGCAAGTGAATCGATGCTATCGGCAAATTGGGCTAAGAAGTCCGCCAGAAACACATTCGATCAATGTAAGAACAAGATGAAGAACGGAAACCATCATTAAAATATAATTTGTCTAAAACTATAACAATGTGGTAACGATACGAACGATGCCATAAAAAATGATCAACCGCAGCCAGTGACGATGACCACCATTTAGATGGCAATACATTTGAGTAAACAAAATTCCATCTATAGATCATTGGTATTGGTCATCAAGGTAAGACAATCAAAAATTATTAAATTTTAAAAATTACGGCGCAAAATCGATGTGCCAATGACTGTCTGTACTCAGTAAAGAATACAGAGAGTTTCAAAGAAAAAATTCAATCTATTTTCAATATTCCGTACTTTTTTCTCACACATAATTTTCTCCCCATTTTCTATGGCATCTAATTACATTCAATTCACCGGGACAATTCGACCAAACAATCAACTTGAAGAGGAACGGGAGAGTGTAAAAACTTGGATGCACGAATCAAATCAACGGCCGCTGGCATCTTTGAAATGCCACACTTGAAATCTATTATTTTGTATTTAGCGCGTAGCGTGAATTAGTTTTTTTCTCGTTCGTTCGGAAAAAGCTCAAATGAAAAAAACAAATCACTTCGACGTCTTGTTTGATGGTAAGAAAAAGTGTCCAATTTGTGTAGCACACGAAGAAGTGATGTGTTGTCTTTTTTCTCCACACCGAATGGAATTGTTATCAATGGAAGCGCGACTGACATCTCATCCGATGGTGTCGGTTTGTATTCGGTTCATTACATTAGAAATGGCCTGTAATGAACTGAAACAAAATGCATGGCAAGCGAAACGTAAAGCAGATTGAAGACGAGAAAGTGTGTGTGTTAGCGCGCGCGGTTACAGCAACAGGCTTACAAAGTATCAATCAAATTAAAATCCATCAAATCACGCGACAGATAGGCGATTCGGTCGTGCTGAGTTTTTCTCGAGAAAAATCAGAAGCATTCTTGTCCCACTCTTTCTTTCTTCTAAATGACTTGTAATGATGACGGGCGTCGTGCGCACCCAAAAAATCGACCACTCAGCTGATGACTTTGTGTATAGATTTCAATTTTGATGGACCGAAGGCACAAGCGTTACAATCACTATACGCTTCATTATTTCTAATTATTTATGCGATTGGCAACGGATACACTTTTCGCTCTCCTATTGATGCGTAATCGCTCTTCAATTCACAAATTTAATGAACTTTGCATTGGAATTATATCAAAAGCAAATGCCAAAATCACATGTTCGACTATCATTTTGCTGTACAACAAAAAACATCGTTCAAATTGTCTATTCGTCATCGGATATAGTCATTTGTACGAAAAAAATTGCCTTGTTTATCGAATATATTGCAATTTGAAATACGTTATGCGTTCAAACTTAATGAACAAGTTGTTTAGTTGCTATATTTTTGAATCGATGTTATTTTTTCTCATTCTATGTTGTATCGTTCAATAAATATAAAAGCGTATAGAAAATTGCGTTATTGAAACAAATTCCTATAATGCGTTTGCAATGAATCATGAGTGAGACCCTCTTCGTGATGTTGTCAATCAAAAAGCAATTTTCTGTATAAATTCATCGTGCGCTGATGTTTTAGTCGAGTTTCATATCCCATGCCGTATCATTGTCCTACTGGCAACGCAAAAATTGACAGTGAATATAGACGAGAATTGAATGTTTTTTTATTTCATCCGATTTCTAAATATGCCTATTTTGCCATCATTATTCGATTCATAAAATTATATCAATTTTTTTGTTGTTGTTGCTGTTTAAAAAAAAGATGAATAGATATAATGATGGATTACAAATAAACGGAAATACGCAGTGTATTTCGCATAAATTTCCATTTCACCGCATGCCAACTGATTGACTTTGAAGCAGCGGATGAATTGAATTTAATTAGAATATTATGGAAATATAGAGCACAGCAATTCCAATTGAGTGATATGAACTTCAGCGTTGTTTATAACAATCGACGCTTCACAATTTATCCAGACGTGATTGAAGTTTAATAAAATTGATAGATAGCACAAAATGTGTGTGCGCTCTATTTTTCATTTTCATTTAATTTTAAAATAACAAATAGTTTTATACCCGGTGCTCATTGATTTGATTGCAATAACCGCACGTCATTCGTTCTCGTTTTCTGTTGACACCTCATTAAATCTCTTTGCGCACTTGAGACTTGAAGCAATAAAATGCGAACATTATTTCATGACTGGTAATTGAACGGGGCAAATAAACGGTTTCTCGTTTTTTTTATTCATTCATTCATTTGTCACTGTGGATGTGTTGATTAGCTGCTATATGTGTAATAAACTTGAAATCTAAACTGGATTTTCTGAGGCAAGTCATTTTGATTGGCATATTTTATGTTACGATTAAAATTTATTAGAAGCGAGCAAAACACTGCTCTCGAACCTACGTAATTTGGTCAGTGCATTCGCGAGAGATCAAGCAGTTTAAAAAAAAAAAAAGTGTATGAAGAAGATTTTTTATATCCCATAGGAGATGAACGTTGTGAGACCAATTTTCGTTGCTCGAAAACTTCGCCTTGTTGAACAAAACTTTGCAAAAGACAAGAAAATGTTCGATGAGAGCCACCCCGACAACGCACCAATAATTTCAAATTGGCATTCATAATTAAGTTATTACTCATTGCAGTGTACAGAATAAGATAATACACCATCGGCACCATGTATTATAATACAATGACAACGAGAAAAAAAGTTTTCTAATAAAAATGGGAACGAATTTCCATTCATACATCTTAATTTTCACCAATTCAAATCAAATGCCGGTTCTTTTGGCTTCGGGTGAGTTGTTTTTTTTCCTTGGGTAGTTGAATTCGGAATATGCCCAGTCAATTTATTTTTATTGTCATTGACAAAGAGAGACACAACCAAAAAAAATTAAATGAAACGCAACAAAATAAAAATGAAATAAAATTCAAAATGAATGAAATAATTTATTCACCCTGATTAATTGATTTCACTTGTTATAATATGCGCTACCTTTATAAACGCACCAGTACAACAGTACTTGCAACACGGTAATCGAAAGACGAACTTCAAAACAAAAACACAAAATTTATTTCTTCATTTCAATAATAATTTTTTTTGTCGCTGCCCCAGTTTAATATTCAAAATGATGTGAATGGCGACACACAGAAGAAGAAAAAAAAATACAGCGAACATGAAATGGATATTGACAATTGCATGAAATAGAGAGCGAAAAAAAAGTATGGGGAAAAAGTCGAATATAATCAGAATAAAAATATGCAAACGAATAAATCGAAGTCGAAGTTTTTTATGCTAAAGAGAGCGAAAAGCTATTTTTTCGCTTCTTCTGTGGGGCTGTAAATTAGTTCGCCTACATTTCATTGTGTATGTGTGTGTATATACATATTTCGCGCCAGTCAAGCGTGTGTATATTATTTCTGTCGATTCGGCAAATATTCAGTCAATTTCGAGGCCGATATTGACTGTCGTCGTTGATTTGAATGTAATTTTTTTGTCGATGGCTTTTGATAATGTTCGCCATTGGAACATAAAATACAACAACAACGAAAGCCATAATAGCAATATAACATTCATGTTGACGCCACTTTAAAAGGGAGAACGAATCGCGCGCTACTCAACGAGCTCAAAAACCGAAATTCGTATCGAATTGAATTGTTCGTAGTATGTATCGATAAAATATATTTGTATCACGCCAAATTTCGAAGTGAACGAAATAGTTTATGTTTCAATGTGGCGGAAAATATTTCCAATATACACAATGGTTTTAATATGCAAAGTCAACTCTATCAACTCATTTTTCTTCTCTTCGTATGTCTGTGTGTTCAATACGATTTTTCCGATAGTAATTCTGCTTGTCGTGTTTATTCGGTATAAAGTAGAGTGAGCAAGAGAGGGAGAAGAAGGAGATGAGAAAACCGAAAAAAAACACACCACCAGCACATACACATTGTTGATTGCGGTAAGTATTGGAGCAAGAGAATAAAAATAACACACAAAACAAAGAAATTATCGGATTAAAGGAACGAAACAGCAGCAACAAAAAAAACCTAAGCGATGAAAAAAGAAAACAAGGAAAAGGACGAAGTCGTATATAGCGTGATTTTCAATCAAGATTAAATAATTTCGTATTTTTTTTCACCATTCGTTTTCCACTACAAATCCGTTTGAACGAATGTGTGTTCGAAATGAATAAATATTATCGCGAACGTTTTCGAGCGCGAGCTCATTCGGTCACATTGGAATGGGGTGTGCAATGCAAGCGATCAATTAATACATTTGACTCGTGCAATCGGTTGAGGTCCACTTGTCAC